GGGGGTTCCATATGGGATTCTCGCCTACAGTGCAAAATAAGCTGGGGCCAGCCCTGGCTGACGTTGTACTCTTTGGACGGCAGGAGGGCCCTCGTGGAGCCCTCCTGATAGGACCACTTTGGAAGGTGGACTGCACAGTATTATACCCCATTGAAGTCCCTCCCATCCACAAACCTTGCCCTTCTCTAGCTCCACCCCCATAATCTCCAGGAATTTCCCCACCCGGAGGTGGCAACCCTGGCATGACATCAGTTCTGGAGGAAACAATATGGTTTTACCATAATTTCAAGCAGGGCTTTTTTTGTAGAAAAAGCCCAGCAGGAACTCACCCAACAGCAGAAACTCATTAGTATATTAGGCCACACCCCTGACAGCACTGTTCATTAGCACATTAGGCCGCACCCCCATGTTACCAGAAGTGTGGTCATCCAGCCACACCCACCTTTTGCTTCTTATTCTGTTTACCTTCTTTGTTGTCCAAAACCAGGGCCTTTTTTTGTAGCAGGAACTCCTTTGCATGTTAGGCCACACACCCCTAATGTAGCCAATCCTAATGAGTTTCTGCTGTTGGGTGTGGCCTATTATGCTAATGAGTTCCTGCTGGGTGTGGCCAACTTGGGAGCCAGCCGGAACTCCGTTCCTGTGCGTTCCTGCCCAAAAATAGCCCTGATTTCAAGCAGTTCCTAGAATGATGTGCTGTCACTTCCAGGTTTTTGCAGTAGCGACATCATAAAACTTGTAATGCCGGTACACCCCCATGTCCCCGTCCCGAAAGCCACCCCCCGTTGCCTACCCTGGACTGTTTCACAGCAGCTCATCTTCTCAGAGATTTGGGGTTTTTTTTCCCAAATAACCCACCAGAGTTGCAGATCAGAAGTGTGACACAACTTTGCAAAATTTCTGCAGACACATGGAGCTTTAGGTCTCACACGAGAGCTGCAAAGCCAGCCTTCCTGTTCCTGCTTAAAAAAAACGCTAAGTGTTGAGTTTTTATTTGGAGGAAGAGATTTAAAATGATCTGCTGTAAACGAATGTATGCAATGAATGGAAGGCAAAGTTTAAACCAGTCATGAGAACATCCTGGTTTAGACAGAAGCCTGCCACCGAAGCCACAAAACTAGTTTGTGCCGGTTAAGATTGCCAAAATTATAGGAAGAGAGTAGGAAGAGACACACATCATTAGAATGCTATGCTATCTATGATTCCAATACTTCTGCAGACACCTTGGCTGAGTTCAGACTGGCCGTTTGCCCCAATACAGGCATGTTTCAGAAACGTTCCACAAACGGATTAAAGGGGCCGTTCACACAGGCACATCTGTCAGGCGTTCCCCACCCGTACTCGACCCCTCTTATAACGCTTCGCGTTATACCTGGTGAAAGTGGTAGCAAACCCTGGAAAACACGATTATCCCGTGTCCATCCCGCACCAACAAAGTGTGAATGCCAAAAGCTGTTTTTCTTATGCGTTTATGCACATAAGCGCTCGTGCGCATCTCTCCAGTTCAGTGTTCCCTCTAAGCTGAGTTAGTGTGAGCCAGCTCACAGTTTTTTAGCCTCTGGCGCACACATTTTTGTCTTCGCTTAGGGAAGGACGGCCTCAGAGTGAACTAATTTATGCAGTCGCCAAATCGCTCACTCACCACTTTAACGCCCTCGAGTTTAAAAGATACCTGGTGAAAGTGGTAGCAAACCCTGAAAAACGCGACTATATCGTGTCCATCCCGCACCAACAAAGTGTGAATGCCAAAAGCTGTGTTTTTC